AAACTCAGTACCACCGATTTTTCATAACCACATCGTTCTAGGTACTTAGTCTGTCAAAAAAAAATATATATTAACTTGATATGATAAAGAAGTTCTACAAAAATGGAGAATATAGATCAATGAAAATATGATGAAAATGAACTTCTGATCATTAGGCCACCACCATTGATCATGCGATTTTGTGTGGCAGAAGCAAAGTCACCAGCTTCAATTTCTGATTCGAAGATTGAGGAAAGTAATCTGTAGGAAGAGATGGAGTTATACAGGAAATCAAATGCCAAAGCCATCGATGTTCCTTTAGAGGTAATTTATTCGTCTATTAAAACAGTTTTTAAAATCTACTTTAGATTAGTGAAAGGTAAATTGAACTTGTAATCTCTGCAGACTGATAAACAAATACAAACTGATGAAACTCCAAAAGAATGTTTTCAAAAAAAGGAAACACGATCTCTATCTAGATCTGGAGATATGTTTGAAATGTATATAATGCAGCTTCGTAGAAAGAGAGATCTGAAGCATAGATGCATCCGAGTGGGTAAGCAGTTAATATTTCCTTAAGTCATAGAAAATATTTACTAACATGTTTGATGTGAACAATATTTTCTATGTTTTTTCTTGTAGGGAGAGAAGAAGAAAGTGCAAGGAGAAAGCTTGGAGTTTAGTACTTCTAAGCATGTACGCAGATCGGGCTAAAATCAGGTCTGCCTCTTTCAGCTCCGTTTCTTCTGCTTCAGCTCCTTCTGCTCCAGCTCCTTCTGCTCCGGCTCCTTCTGCTTTGGCTCCTTCTACTTTGGCTCCTTCTACTTCGGCTCCTTCTGCTTCTTTGCTTTCTCATCCGGTTCCTTCTGATTCGACTGATTTTGCTTCTTCGCTTTCTCAGTTGTCACCACACTTTCAAGTTTCTCTCCACCTTCGGGAGTATCTTCATGTTCTTTTTCGTTTCCTTCTTTCTCCTTTCTCCCTTCTTCATTTCGTAAAACTTCTCCTTCCTCATCTCCTGGTCCTTTCTTCTTGCCTCTTTCACATATTGTTCTACAAAGCAAAGTCTTGTAATAATTCCATCCATGCGGGCACTGATTCGGAGAAACTGAGCGTTCATACTCTTCTTCAAGCTCTGCAGCTGTTCCACCAATCCAAGAGGCGCTACATTCTCCATAGCTACATTTTTCTTAGCCACTGCAAGATCGTTTACCACTCCTTATTATCTCGGGCATCAACATCCATCAGGCATATCGCTTTCCAGAATATCGGCTTCTTTTCCTCAACTAAACGCCTTGTTTAATTATCAGGAACTATGTCTCTGAAATCTTCCACTTCATTCCTCTCCATGACTCCAGCACTTATAATTTCCTCATCCTTGGATGGTTGCAATATACTCTTGATAACCCTAGTGTTACCCAGTATTTATTTTTTGTCGACACCTGCATTTTTTATATAGAGAAAAAAAAACGTACATCAATTACAACCTGAGGTGCCTTTTATGTCTACTAAGCTCTCTAACAAGAAAGTATGACCCACTAACCCTTAAAAGGGAGTTCATCCTAAATTGGGCAAGTATACAGAAGAGAGCTCTAAAATTAGAGCTTTAACACATCTCACAAGTGACACTGAATCACAATAGAAATTCTTCCCAGGAAGCAAATCAATCAACTAATCCAATTAGATCGATCAAAAATTACTAACTCTTGTACCCCCAAAAAATATAAAATTATCCCATTATAAAGAAAATAATATGCTTAGATTGAGCTCCTTAGTAGAGTCGAAAACGTTCTCTTAGCTTCATCACTGTCCCAACATCATCGACATGGCGACACCACACCTCTGTCCAAAGAAGCCCAAAAGCCAGAAAAGATTTCAACAACTTTACAAAAAAAAAGGCTATAAAACATCTTAGATATACCTAATGAAAGAGAAGATCAGAGAAAACTATGTACATTGGAACAAATGCCAAAAGGCGCCAGACAACGACCAGATTTATGAGAGAGAAGGTCGGAACTCGCCGGAAATTAGAATACAGATAATCGTAAGAAACACAAGATAATTTTCTCTCTCTAAATATATTACATATACCTAATGATTCAAGACATACTTCTAGATGTCATGCCTTTTATATAAAGGTTTTTCTGGCTTAAACTTTTAATTGAGATATTTGATAGAAAGAACCCTGATAAACAAAAAGTGTTCAAAGGGTGATAAGAGCCGAGGAGGAAAAACGAAGAAACCCAATTGTAAGATTTTTTGTGTGATGAGTTTTATTGTATTATGGATATGTGGGAATGGAAACGGAAATGGATTTAGTGAATCCTTTTTTAAGGCAAGCTGATCAAAAATTTGAAGATACATAGGTTTAATTACAAGACCAAGTCTTGTTCTTTATGGTCTTACTGTAAGTGCTGAAATCATGAAGTCGATGAGGCGAATGTTGATACGTTTTTTACTTATGTCATTTCTCTAAAGTACTCAGTAGTGAATTTTTAGCTTATGATTTTTATTAAAAATATAAAAATTAATCAAGGAGCTATCAATAATAAGCACTGATGATTGATAACACCGTATTTTCACCATTTTTATGGATGATTTTAAGATCTTATTCAAGTGTTTTAACTTAGTTTTCAATGGTTTTTAGGTGATTTCCATATTTTAGAGTTTCAAAAGAGTTTCAGGATATTTAGACAAAAAGAATGCTTTTTGGAGCAAAAGTACCATTTTGGATAAATTCACACCATCAGAAGTTTGGCAATGAATGAGAACCTTTCCATCCTCTGGTCATCCTCAAATGTGGACGCAAGATAAAGGAGACAATCAGCTTCCAATGCAATTGGAATGGAAGCAATCCAACGGTTAGATCTACAGATATGCTCGACGAATTGAAGACGAAACAACACAGTATGGAAGCTGAAATCACTCCCACCCGCGGCCGGAGCACCTTTCTCTGTGGCCGCGACTATACCAACTATAGTGCGCCTATTTCCGAGCCTCAACAGCCCATATTCAAGCCCAATTCATTCCCATCATTATTTCTCCAAACCCTAGATGTTCCCGAAGACTACATACATTATATATACCTCTTTTAGGTCATTCAAAGAAGGTGTGCTCGACTTTTAGAAGTCTTTAGGAGGAGCCACCAGGAAGAGCACCATCGAACCTCCATCTCTACCTCTGTCTTTCGTTCTTAATTTTCTTTTATTCAATTTCCAGCAACTTTTAATACTGTTATGATGCTTTGTTACACATGTCTGAGTAGTTTCTCAGTTGGGTTTTAAGAGATTTTCAAAAGGAATTCATAGATTGAATAAGAGTTTGTTAGATTAGGGTTTATCTTTAAAAGTTCTTAGTCTGAATATGTGTTCGTGTGTTGTGGTTTGATTGACAACCTAGCTATTGCGATTAGGTTGATTAACTTATCGAAAATGCTGAATCACCTAAACTTATTTAAATACTTAGAGAATGAATTTTGGAGTTCAGTAATATAAGTGGCTTAAATTTGTGATTGATACTATGAGAGTAGATTAGTCTTGGTTCAAGTTCTAGAACATATATACTGAAAATTTTATATCTGATTATCTTGTTAGCTAATCTATGATACATGGAAAAATTCCTTAATGCCCAATGCTTTTTCATATTATTAGTTTCGTCACTACTCACAACCCCCAAACTAACACCATATTTTTCATCTTAACTCAGTTCTCATCTCAAGTAAATTTGTAGTGCAGTTACTTGATTTTCAGTGGATCGACCCTTAAGTACTACAACGCACTGCTATGCACTTACAGAAAATTAGGATAAAACCTGAGCACATCAATGATTCATCGTTCCTGGTTTTCTAAAGCAATTTTGGTTTTAAGTGTCAGAGACTTAGAGGTAAGCATACCACTATCTGTGTATTAAACTACATTCTAGGTTTTTGTCATGCTCTTAGTATCTTCTTTTTTTGTTAGTAAAACAGATATTTACTTCCCCAAATAAATTTGTGATTGATACTATGGGAGTAGATTAGTATTGGTTCAAGTTCTAGAACATATCTATCGAAAATTATACATGTGAATATCTTGTTAGCTAATCTATGATACCTGGCGAATTCCTTAATGCCCAATGCTTTCTCGTATTGATTTGATCTTCATATTTCCTCTTTTTTAAATTTAATAGTTATTATTTTTTCAATGTTCACAACCTCCAAACAAACACCCATATTTTTTTATCTTAGCTCAATTCTCATCTCAAGTAAATTCGTAATGTAGTTACTTGGTCTTCAGTGGATCGACCCCTAAGTACTACAATGCACTGCTGTGCACTTGCAGAAAATTGGGATAAAACCTGAGCACATCAAGTTTTTGGTGCCATTGCCGGAGACCATTAACGTTGCCTATGAGTTTCAGATCAGAATTCAGTCTAAAGTACGTTTTCTTTTTCGTTTTTATTTGCTTCATTACTTTTTTTTCTATCTCTCTCTCTTTCAGAAGAGATAAGGGTTTAAAAAATAATAATAATAAATAAAAAAGCTAAAAAAACCCTGAGATTGGCGAGAAAATAAACCTATCTTAGACATCAATAGGCTTAAAGAAAACCAAGATATCCAGCAACACCCAGTTGGTGAGCATGGTCGGCCTCTTCGAGCTCAGTTCCATCAAATTCCTCAGTATACTCTAGGGGCTTTTAACACTCTGTATGCTTTTTATGAGAACCATTCTGCCATTAGTCTACAACATATCAATGTAGACTATGAGATCAGCCCAAAGATCATAAAATTGGTACAGCAGAACCAATTTCATGGCGATACATCAGAGAATCCAATGGATCATCTTGAAGATTTTGAAGAAATCTGCAATATGAAACAATTAATCAGAGCTCTTGTAGATTATGTGAAGTGCAATTTGTTTCCGTTTTCTTTGAGTGGTAAAGCACGTGTATGGCTTAGGTCTTTGTCTCCTGGTTCTCTCATATCATGGGACGATTGCAAGACTGCGTTTCTCAACCAATTCTACACCACCTCCAGATCAAAATTGTAGAGACGAGATTTATGGGTTCTAACAAGGAGAAGACGAACTCTTTCATGAAGCTTGGAATCGTTATGAAGGGTACATTAGAGAATGCCCTCACCATGGCAAGCAATGGGAACTTCACGTCAAGAACTGTGGAAGAAGCTTAGTTCTTGATTAATAATTTTGCTGCAAACAGCAAAAACAATTGTCCTGATCATGATAGAACATCACGTTCCAACTCTCATGATCTTTGGGAAATTGAAGAACTCTGAGCTACGGTGAAACTGCTTCTCAAAAATCAGCAGTGCTTTGTTGATGTCTGTGAAGGGGTTGTTGGAGAAAGTGCAAAAATCTATCAAGATTTGAATGCAACCGAGACTGATCATCAAAACAGACATACAGCACAAGAGCACGCCCGTATGAATCTCCAAGCTGCTCCAAATCTAACACCAACCTCTCAAGATAACAAGCTCGAGCTTATGATTCAACCACTTCTTATAAAGGTGTAAACACTAGCTGGCAACATTGATATGAAAGTGGGCAGCTTATACACTGACCTTAATGGTATATTTGAAGTTCTTTCCTTTCATGTTAATGGTATGGACGTGCAGCTATCGCAAACCACAGAATCTGCTCAAGACATCGAAGCTATGAAGAAAACCATCAAGGAGTGGTATGCCACAATGAATGGATACTTCGATAAGCTGACTGAGATATTCTATGAGAAGATGCATAAGAAAAAATTTAGCCAAATTGGAGAAAGTGTGAGGAGAGAAGATAGTATTCTAAGAAAAACCGAGGACAATCCAAAGGGAATCTGCAACGCCATAGTAGTTGATGGTACGAGAGAGGCCACGCCTATTTATAGCAATCAACACCCCGAAGTTGAGCCTCAAAAACGGTCTGAAGATATCGAGCCAATATGAAAAGTACCACACCAAAGGAAGCTTCAAAAGGTAGATGATTCAGTGAAGTTTGTATTCCCTTTCATAATTGGAGATGTGGAATTTATCGACTCTCTATGTGACACCAGAGCAAATGTGAATGTCATGTCAAAAATCCGTCGCAAGCGAGCTAGGGATTCGTGATATCAAACCTCCTCGAATTTCTTTAAAGTTTGGAGATAACTCAAGTACAATTCGACATGGTTTCGTACAAGATCTTATGGTGCAGGTAGGAGGGTGTCTTGTTCCTGTCAACTTTCAAATTCTTGAAATGGAAAAGGATTTTTTAAGGACATTAATACTTGGAAGTTCATTCCTAGCGATAGTGGGAGCAGTTACTAATTATCCCAACCGAAGACTTTGTTTCTCTAAAGTCAAAAAGAGAGTTTTCTATCCTGCAGTTCCTAGTGATGGGAGCTCTTACTGTGTAATCTACAAAGGACAGAAGCTGATTTTGGATCATGGAGATAACAAAAAAAAGGTCCCAAATCGCTTCTATAGAAGCCCCTTTAATCAGGCCTATGGGAGTTATCAAACGAAAAAAAATCTAAGCGCAAAACTATCCCATGTGATGCAAATTCGACCTAGACTTCCCAAGTCTCTATTAAAAACGTGGGAAGAGATAGTAATGCTAAAGAAGAACTAATTAACCCTTCAGACACGTCCAATACCACCTCCAAAACTAAAGCGTTCCGAACTTCCTTGGTTTATGCATATCGCAAATTACCTAGCAGCATAAGTCTAACCACCACAATTCTTTGGTTACAAGAAGAAAAAGTTTTTACATGATATTAGAAGGTACTTTTGGATGAACCATTCATATAATATGTTCCGAAGAATGCATCCCAGAAGAAGTTCCAGGCATCTTCTTTCACTGTCATAGATCTAACTACGGCATACACTTCGCTACTGATAAGACTATTGCTAAGGTCTTACAAACTGGTTTTTGGAGGCCAACCATGTTCAAGGACGCCCGTACCTTCATTTCTAAGTGTGATGTTTGCCAAAGACAAGGGAACATCAGCAAACGAAATGAGGTGTCATAAAACTTCATTCAAGAAGTCAAAGTTTTTGATTTTTGGGAAATCGACTTTATGGGTCCTTTTCCTCTATCTTTTGAACACAAATATATCCTTTTTATTGTTGACTACGTGTCTAATTGGGTGGAAGCCATAGCTAGCCCCACCAATGATGAAAAAGTAGTAATAAAGATATTCAAGTCGATCATATTTCCAAGATATGGTGTTCTGTGAGTTGTGATTAATGATGGTGGTTCTAACCTCATCAATAAAGTGTTTGAGAATCTCTTGAAGAGAAATGGAGTGAAACACAAGGTCGTTACATCTAATCAACCGCATACGAGTGGCCAAGTGGAGGTATCGAACAGAGAACTCAAAAGAATTTTGGAAAAGATAGTTGGACCAACAAGAAAAGATTGGTCGGCAGAGCTTGGCGTATAGAACTGCCTTCAAAACCCCTTGGGTATAACCCCTTTTCACCTTGTTTATGGAAAACATGACATCTTCCACTAGAGCTATAGCTCAGAGCAGAATGGGCAGTAAAAAAACTGAAATACGACATCCAGACAGGCACTGTGAAACGCTTGATTCAGTTGAATGAGTTAGACGATATTCACCCTAATGCCTATGAGAATTTGATAACACCTAATTTTGAACACTTTTCACCATTGATTTCAAATGTTTTTTTAAAGGTTTTACTTTGTTTTAGGAACTTTTATTATGATTTCTATGTATTTGTAGTTTCAAAGCTCTTTTCAGGAAACTTAGGGAATATGATGGCAAAATGGAAGAAATCCACATTTTTAGCTCAGAGTCAGATCGACTTTCTCACCGTCCGATCAGCTCAAATTTGGAGACAATAAAGAGGAGATAACCAGCTTTCCATAGCACTTTACATCACAAAGATCCAACGGTGCAATCAAAAGATACATGGAGAACAAGTTGACCCAGTTCACCAGTCACGGAAGACTCTCACCCGCGGGAAACGCATGTTTTACCTGCCTTGGAAGACTCTCACCCCCGGTGGATCTTAGGACGAGCCACAAGGCCCAACATCAAAGCCCACTTTGCCATTTCTCTTCAGAAGCCCTAAATGAGACTTGAAAGACCTTATGACCTATAAATACATTGTTTAACAGCCCTAAACGGTGTGTGCTCCTGTAATGAGATTTTGAGCCACCAAACTTTGTTTTTCTAGGGTTAGGCGATGGATATGGGGATTCTTCCCCAAATCCATTGTTCTTCCTCCTTTTTATCTTACTAACTTTTCTGTTTCATTCGTTTGCATTCTTCTATGTGTTTCATTATTCATTGCATCATGTAGATTAGTCTTAGAGAGTCAAGTTGTTTGAAGATATCGACAAGCTTATATATATCGATTAGGATTTCTATTGTTCTTAAACATATTCTGGATCTTATCTCTTCTAACTTATTCGTAAAGCATGAAAGTAGATTCATGACCTATTCTCTGAGCCTAGGATCGATCAGAGCCACGAGAGTGCTGTATCAGATCATCCGTACCTAGCTTCAGAAGAACATAATCGCTATAGGAGTCGAAAGCTACCTACAGAGAAGATGTGAGCAAACAAATTCAATGTCCAATGCATGATCTTAAGTTTAGCATGAGAACGAGAGTTAATTGCTAGATCTAAGAGATTAGTTGATTAAGGTGACGACAAATAGTTAATCATACATATGTCTTTTCTAGTTCAATGCAGATTCCCAGAAACAGATGAAGATAAATCGCCCAGAAGCTAATTGGAAATGCCACCATACATTGATTAGAGTAAATCGGAGAAGTCTAAATCGCCACCTATGAGTTCAAGAGTCTTTAGTTTGAGTCGATATGGTTTAGATGTTCTTTTAACAATTCATCCTGCATTGCATTTCTTGTGAATACTAGATTAGGCTTAGTTTAGGATCTTAACCAAAAACCCCAAATCTTTTATTGGTTTATGAGTTTGCTTACTTCCCAGTTTGTTGTTTCTTGCAGATTAGACATCCTCCCTGTGAATCGACACCCTAAGTCCTACAACGAACATCTGTGCACTTGCAGACACTAGGGTTTTATAAATTGAAAACTTTTGGAGGACCAACAGGCTTGTTAAAAAACAACCCTAGGCCCGCAAGCCCATCAAGTTTTTGGAGCCGTTGCCGGGGAGGGGTTTAAGCCGGGAGGTTGAAGCCGCAGACGACTATGTATATGTCGAGTTTCTGCCAAAGCAACATAGGAAGTAAACCAAATTCATAAACACCCTAACTTTTTCTTTTTGTACTTATTCTTTCTTCTGTTTGCCCTAGTTTCAGAAACCTTTGAAGCATGGATCATCCAAGAAGAAACCCTAACCCCGAGCGAAGGTCCTGCAACCTGTGTGAAGCTCCCTGCGCATGCGAATCACCCTCCAGGCGTGATTTTGATCATCATCTTTGAAACCCTAATCTGAACCACCATCATGGAGACTCGCGACCTCCACACCACCGAGATGAGCCTTATTCGCCACACCTGGTGAACCGTCGACCATCTCACCCTCTTCCTCATCAGATTCTGCACCAGAACTATGAGAACAATCGACTTAACATCCTGATTAATCGATTGGAAGCCAAGCTGAATCAGTTCCTTGCCTCCCAAGCCCTCATTGATGCTGCACTGCGAACAAGGATATATGACATCACCATCGGCCTCAACAAAAGGTTTGATGAACTCTCTGAGCATGTGAAGACAATGGAGGATCAGAGAACCAAAGATAATGATGTGTTAGATCAGAGAATAGAGTCTGTCAGGGAAGAACAAGATAAAAACAAGTTCAACTTTCAGCAAAACGAAAGGGAGCTACAAACCCTAACCTTCAAGATCGATGACTTGGATAAGGAGCTGAATGAGAGCAAAACCCAGACCTACGACTACACATTGGAGCTGTGGCAATGCGTAGAAAAGGTTAAAAACAAGACAGAAGAGCTTGATGCTACTTTAGACAAAGTTGTCTATGCTTTGGATGAAGTAGAAGAGAAAGTTGAAAAAAATTCTAAAGATCATAAGGAGTGTGATCTGAACTCTGGAATCAATGATTTGGATACCCAAGACGTGCCTGACAACCACTGGAAGCAAGAGAATAACAATGGAAAAAAAAGAGATTGAAGAAGCAAGCATGGATAGCCGGAGGGA